TTCCATGATTCTATGATTCTAAGATAGGTGCACAGCGGTTTTGACGCTCACTCAAGTGCTTACACCTGCCTGTGAGATTTAAACTGCCTTCTCCCGCTGCAGAAGTGTAGCTGTGACTCAGCCACACTCGACTGTAGAGCCCTGACTTCAGTCTCAGACATCTCAGACCACAGTGTTACAGCGGCATGAAACACGGGGAATCAAACTGCTCGTTAATTTAATTATTAATTATTAATTCAAACCACGCGGCTGTCCCGGCGGAGCGTGGCGTGCCGCGGTTACTGAGGGCACGCCGTGCGTGAGCTCAGCCTGGGGAAGGTGGAAATCTGGGGGCAGCATCCACACGAGAGTTAACCCCAGCTCCCACCCCCCAAAAACCTGGAGAGCTCAGACAAGCGTGGAAACTTCATCTGCAGAGAGAGCAGCCCTGAGGAAAAAGGGGGTGCGGTCGCAGGTTTCGGTGTCGTTCAGTGCTGCTCGTGGGAGCTCAGCAACCCTATGAGCCTCCCCACAGCCCTTTCTCTGCACCAGCACCCTGGATCCCGAATTCCCCGTGGTCGCTGGGTGTGAACGTGGCCATACGCCCTTTTCTCTCTATGTGTGTGCTCATATTCGAGGATGTTTTATACACAGGAGCTAACGTAGGTGGTAACTTGCCCTACGTGGGACTCTACGTGGTTATAGTTGGGTCTGATCATCCTAGAGCCACTTAGACCATCCCAAAACTCGCGTCACCAAGCCTGACCTTGTGCTGTCCCTCCTGCCTTCGCTCCCCAGCTGGCTGCGGTGCATTTGGTGGATTCTCACTATTGCACGGACCCCGGCAAGTTCATCTCTGTCCTCTGCACCTCGCTCTCCACCATGCTGCACGTGGAGCTGCCCCACGTCAACGTCCTCTCCAAGATGGACCTGATCGAGCAATACGGCAAGTTGGGTAAGAGCCTTTGCCAGGGAGATGCCTGCAGTGGGGCTGTGGAGTTGGGTGCAGGCTGGGAGTGACCTGGGCTAGTGGAAGGTGTCCCTGCCCATGGCA